CCCCCCCCCACACCTCCGCCCCTGCTGCTGATGAAAAAACAATGTATCGAGACAGCTGAAATAATCACCGCTTCACATCTAACTGAACTAAAGTATATGTAGATGAATTATGTATCTTTAGGTGATGAAAATCCTTCGAACACATATATATTTATTTATTCTTCCTTAGATGTAAAATAGTTTGTCAAATCTGCAGGTTTAACTTACTAAAGAATGGACATATTGGGGAGAAAAGACAGGAGAGATTCAGTTTAATGTAACATTTTCAAATTGTGTAAATTTTTTGGGAGCATTAAGAGAAGAAATCAGATGTTGCACAAGTGAAAAATGCTAAAAATGGCGACAAATTGAAATCATGATTTGGATGTTTGACTTCCAAAATTAATGAGATCCTTAATGATGTGAAGAAGCTTTCTGCTTATCTGCATCGTGCAAAGAAATTCTACTGATATCTTTTATCGTTTTTATTGATGTGTTCTCGGCTTAGCTATAAATTGTGGAGCTTGATTCTGCCATGTTCTATTCAATTTTTGAACTGTTGTTGAGTCTAGGCGCATGTCTGTGACACAGTATTGGACGATACTAGACATGACAAGAAAGAAAATTTTAACGGTATTTCTTCTTTAATACTTTCAAATCCACCTTATCAAACATGCATAGATATTATGCACCACCAGGAGTTCTTACTTGACGCTTTACCACTATTATGTAAACACTGATGAAAGGCCCTATGCTTTGAGGTTGGTGCAGCTCTAATTTTAACTTCTTTTCACTTGTTGATATTGTTCGATTTTAGCTTACCAAACTAGTGATATGTAGTGTAGTGTAATAACTAGTGGTAGTTTGATTGTTTGAAACTATTCAATGAATTTATGACCCTAGATTGAATTTATTGCAAATCCCAATTTTGTCGGATTTAATTGGATTGGTCTCTATAACTAGCACGGGTGGTGTTTAGCACAAGTTTACATGGCACTACTAAGAGTGGTGGTAAACATGATTCTTAAAGAAAAATTCTCAATTGACTATTGAGCAATGCCATGTAGTATCTTTACCGGTGCTTAACACCGGTCTATGTGTCATGTGTAATGGCATAAACCATACCATGCTAGCTCGAAGGTCCAGTTTTAAGTAGGCCCATGCTGGGACTGGGCCATCCTGGGCTTGAAAAAGGCCTTTTTTCCAATTAAATGGGCTGAACAGATTTATTTATTTTTAATATCTATATCATGTATTATCAGCCTCTGTTCTTTGTAGATGATCAAGTGCTTCACTGAAATCAATTTATTCCTATAAACTGTAACCAGTGAACAGAAGTTATTTGGATAACCAACTGGGCAGAGAGCATTTGACTGTAATTATCAAAATAGACACTGAAAATACATACAGAAAAACAAATGTGTTTGATTTGAAATATTAGCATTAATATTCAGATTTCACTATTAGGGTTTGGTCACAACATCTGAGATTATTTGACTCTGCAAAGTACATGTGATATGTGATACCAGCGAATGTCACAAAGGAACCCAATGTGGTCCCTTGAAGAAAAAAAAATAGTAATAAAGGGGTAACTTGAAAAGCATCTTAAATGGCTATGGCGGTTGTCTGTATTCTGGACTTCCATTAATCTTTAAGCAAAAAATATAGAAGTCTTGTCCAAAAATAAAATGAATCCCCTCTTTCGTGGGTTCGTTTTTGTTTACGGCTCTATCTAAGTGAACATACGTTTATTAGCATTTCAACCTTCCTTCTTCTTTCATGACTATCCAAAAGAAATCCAGTACTTACTGGTTATTCGCTTTTGGTTTATGGCTATATGCTAAGTGAACTTAACGCATGTTGGCATTCCAACCTTTCTTCTTCTTTCGTAATCTATCTGAAA